AACACTGGGTTTTATAATTAGGGTTAGTTCCTCATCTGATGTGTGGATGTGTTGTTACCTGTATTGTGATGACTTATTACCTTCCATATGCTGGTAGCTAGTCAATCTGTGCCCGAGGAACTATTTCACAAACTCAGAATACAACGTATGGTAGGGAAGGAAGATGCCAGAATGAACCCCACTCCTCCCTGTGCAGGAACTGCCCCTCCCCATTTTGCTCCTTCACTCAGCAAATACTTTCTGAGTGCTCACTGAATGTCAGGCTCCACATAAGGGACACAAGACCCATGTGGCCCTGCTGCACACAGCCTGCTGTCTGGGAAGGGAGAGTCAAGCAACATATTGGCACAAATCACTGTGATAGTGCAGGAAATGAGGAAGGGGCTGTGGCAAAGCCTAACAGGAAGGGACCTAGGTTGGAAGGCTCCCCTGAAGAATGTCATTTAAATGAGACTTAAGAGCAGTGAGGACCTTCTGGACAGAAAGCCTGACCAGGGAGACGGCTCGGGATAATGGAAGATGTGGAAGGCAGAGACTCACTGACATGAGGGGCAGGGGGAGGCAGCGGATGAAGGTGGCGGTGCTGACCCCAGGATGAGGCTGCAGCAGGTAGGCCCCTCGGCATGGGCCTTGCAGGCCAAACTTCTAAATTCAGATTTTATTCAAGGTGACAAAACTACCATTATGTGGAAGTCTGAAGGGAGGGATTAATTTATCTAGTTCTTAACTTCAGTTTTTGAGAAAACTCTGATTATCTACAGTCTTTTTTTTTTAAATATTTTTTTTAGTTGTCAATGGATTTTTTTACTTTATTTATTTATTTTTATGTGGTACCGGGATTGAACCCAGGGCCTCATACATGCCAAGCGAGTGCTCTACCACTGAGCCACAACCCCAGCCCTATCTACAACCTTTTAAAAGACCAAACACTACTTAATAAAATGAAGGAAAAACATTGAAATGTTGACAGTGTTATCTTTAGAAGGTGAGACACCAGGGTTTTGATAGCTTACTGATGTTTTAGAATACATTGCTGTCTTTTGTTTTTAATAAAGAAGCATTCACTACTTTTAAACTTAGAAAAAACTTATCGAATAAATACAAATAAATGGGAATGCATATTTCATTTGCCACTGATCTGAATGTGTTTATGTGCTACGTATGTTCTATAGCTATTGATTGAAATGTAAAATAAAGTGATCTAAAGTAAATTATCAGGGGGTTAACCACAGTTTACCTTTAAAAAAATATTTTCAGTAAAGGTGAGATTTTTCTAAATGGAATTTATTTATCAAAATTGTCATCACTACTATATGTCAGTTTAACACCCTGTGTGTAGGACGTTGCTCCAAAGACTGACAGAAAACCTGAAGTTCACACGGTAGGCCTTGGTTTTCTCTAATTCTATCTTGTTCCTGAACTCACCCCTATTCAAGAAGTAACTTACGAATACAGTCCCAGGCTAAACTAGCTACCCTGGAAAGAAGAAAGATGAGATAAAGCACAGCCTTCCTCTTTCAGTTCTCTTACTTCCCTCCTCTGGTCACCAGCAAATGCATGTTTTTAATTCTTTGTGGCGAAAGTTCACCTCACCCTTAACAAAAAGTAGGCCAACTTCTCTCCACCCTTTTAACAGATTAATCAAATATGCAGCATGTCTTAATTAATTAACTTTATAGGGTCAAACTTGGCAAACGGCTGGAAATGAAGACACCTTTAATTCAAAATACTGGATATGACACTTCCCTAAACCTGGCTGTTTTATTCTACGAGATTATGAGACACTGTTGATAGAGTTTAGAGACATGGTCCCTGAGCTTGAAGAACTTCAATTTAAAAAGGAAACATACAACTCAGAAACAGAAACCCCTGCATTAGTAGTATGTAAAAGGAAACAAAAAGAAAAAATAATTGTCCAAGGGCAGAGTTGAACAACGAAGGTTTGGTTGCCCATCTTTGTCAATGAGGAAATTTTGGAAATTCTGAGCGTGTGTAATTTAATATGATGGTGTTCATCCTTTTCTTGTGAGGGAGGTAGATGGTGGGACAAGAAGGGATGATGGCAGAGAAGGGGAGCGTAGAAGGGAAAGCAGAAGGTGGGGGTGCACTCCGTCTGCTCTTTAACCAGAACATGCCATTTGGTCATGTTCTCCATGTCACCTCATTTTGAAAACCGTTTCTCAATTTAAAAGTTTTCAAAGTCTGAAAACCTACTGTGATGTATATAACCAGGCTGGCAGTGGCTTACTGAGTCTCTGCTACTGTCTAGGGTCTAGGCTAAGCATGCTCCATATTTCATTTAAATAACCCCTACCTCTGCCTCCTGCCTGCAGATGTGAGCATTCTGCTCCAGCAAGTGCTCCTTGCCATTGCCACCCAGCACCCTCACCTGATGCTCACAGACGTGGGGCTGCCTGAACTTGGGTAGGAATCCTCAGAACTCTGAGCTAAATAACCCTTTTATCTTTATTAAAAGATAACAAGCAAATAAATAATTCCTGGAAAAACCACACGAGGCAGCTCTTCTTCCCCTTTCAGCAGAAGAAAGCAAGGTTCTGAAAGGGAAAGTAATTTTCATCATACACAGGCAATTAAGGAGCAGGGCTAGGATTCAGACTCAAGTTTGCTCCAAGAGCTGTCCTTTTACCCACCAGGCTACACTCTGCTTTCTACCTGTGTTTAAGGCTCAATGTAGGCACGTTCACAGGCACTTAAAATGCAGAAAAGTGCTTCAAAACCTGGGTACATGAAGGACAACAGAATTCACAAAGATGTGTTTAGGGTGGTGCCCTCTGACTAGGGTGTTGCTTTAATGAAGGAAGTTTTAACAGCCTGAGAAACAAGCTTTGGTGACAAAGGATGAAGAATAGCTCTTCCCAAGAGGACAGACTGGGCAAAAGCTCACTGCAGGCTGAAGCATGGTGGCACATGCCTGCAATCCCAGCAGCTCAGGAGGCTGAGGCAGGAGGATTTCAGGTTCAAAGCCAGCCTCAGCAACTTAGTGAGGTCTTAAGCAACTTACTGAGACCTTTTTCAAAATAAAAACATAATTAAAAAGGGCTTGAAAGGGCTGAGGATGTGGCTCAAGCGGTGGCGTGCTTGCCAGGCATGCGTGCCGCCCGGGTTCGATCCTCAGCACCACATACAAAAGAAGATGTTGTCCGCCGAAAACTTAAAAATAAATATTGAAATTCTCTCTCTCTCTCTCTCTCTCTCTCTCTCTCTCTCTCTTAAAAAAAAAGGGCTTGAAATGTGGCTCAGTGGTTGTGTCCCTAGGTTCAACCCTTGGTACAATAAATAAATAAATAAATAAATAAATAAGAAAGCTCAGAGCAGATGAATATAACTTTGGATGGAAATTGCTGGTAGGGGCAGGAAATCTTTCCTTGGCCTCCTCATAACAAAGATATTTTCATTAAAGAATGTTTTGAACTGAAAAATAATTACAGCAGCCAAAACAAAAGTCAAGGGAGTTGCTGCTGGGATCTTAAGGTTGACATGGGCCTGACAGGGACATCGATAGCAACAGAACAAATGGGCAGTCAGCCTTGAGAACGTCACTGGAAAAAAAGGAAGAGACGGTACATCCAGAGAGAAGGAGAGCCAGTGGATAAAGTCAAGCTCCTGGATTTGTCTGAATCTCTGAATCACAGTTTGCCATGGCTGCTTGAATCCCGTCAGATGAACCTGCCTTCCAGGAAAGTAGAACTGAGTGTTTTTCCTCCTTTAAATGGTGAAATTCTTCCAGGTTCTTTTTTTGAACCATTATCTCTTCCAGTAAGTTGTCAAAATATATGATTTTTAACTTTAAAGAAAAAACAGGACTGAAATGTGTCAAGTCCCTGGAAACAGTCTAAAACTCAATTGAGTTTATACAGAAAAACACACTGTAAAAATCCTAAAACCATCTGGCCACAGAGATCTCAGTTTCTCTGACAACACCACTGGAGTTGCGGGAGGGTGAGTCTTGTAATTACCAGATGGAAAACCAGCCAGAACAAACCAGAACACACAGGTTACAAATCAACACATCTGAGTACCTGTCCCAAGGAAGTTCAAGAGCCATGTCATCTCCCAAGGGTCACAGTGGACTTAAGAGGAGACTCAGGAAAAGCACTTGCCCCTGGGATGTCCACTGCAAATCAAACCAAGCTTAAGACTACCGTGGTGGCCGGGTATGGGGGAGGCGAAGGTGAGTAGGTGAGTGGGTGGGTGGGAGTTCATTTAAAGGCAAATGGACACATCAAATAATGGCTCTCTGTCTCTGTTTTGTGTTGTCCATGAACAGTTATTAAGTTTCAAAGTGCGAAATGTTCTCCATTGGATATCTGAAATATTCAAAACTGGGTACAGACCAGGCAGGAACGAGAAAGGAAGTAGAATCTGAACACTCCCAGGGAGATGGTAGGCTCATGAAGGAAGCAGGACAAACCAGAGTTGTTTGTAGAACCTGTGGTCACACTGCTGAGATTTCCAAGGAGAGAAGAGACTGCCTTTTACAAAAGCAAGACACGCATATGCATATGGTGGCACAACAAGAATCTGTGCTAGTAGTGTGATAAATACACATGTGTAGCAAAAATGGAAGCTCACAATTGTTTGAGTGCCCTGAAAAGTATTTGCAAAGTTTTAATCCTTTTGTCGGTGTCTTCAATAGATAAATATCCAATGGCTAAATTTCTCACTAGGTACCCTTCCTTAAAGGCCTCTTCAGAACCAGCATCAGCCTGAGCTCTGTATTTGCCAGTCCCGCTGCTTATAAAATGTTTCTACTTCCTGTTTGGTTTTAGGTGGGAAGATGGCTGAGAAGCACAGTCTTACACTTGGGGAATGAACGAATAGAGGCAACTGGGAGGAGGTAGGTTGGTCATGCCGGAAGGGGATGGGGGCAGAGGCTAGATGAGCCTCCAAGTGGGCTGGGAGGTAAAAGCTGCAGCAGATGCACACACCACCTGCTTAGTTGGTACTCTCAGTAGGAAATAAAGAGGGGGGTGACATACCTGAAATTTCTGGAAGTGTGGGCTTGTCTTTTTTCCAGAAGTTCCCATCACAAACAAGAAGTCTGGGGTGAGCACAAAGGGCACTCTCTCTTTATTAATGCCCAGGAAACTTTTATAATTCCCAAGAATGTGCCCAAAATCAATATGAAATAGGTTTCCTGAAAAGAAAAAGAATATCTGACATTATTACACCAGCACACATGCTTGTAATAACACTTCACTTCTTGAGATAATTTTTAAGTGGCCTGAAAATGAGCTATCTTGGGTGAAAGCATCTGTGACATGTGTTACTAGTCTGTCGTATTTTTGGTCTTAGCAGGTGTGTGAAAGTAGTAACCACAAAGTGTTCTTTGAACCAAATATGTTCGTTCTTGATATCTTTCTGGTGTTCTTTAGATGACAAATGGCACTAAAAAGTTAAAAATTATCACCTCAAAATTATTCTTAGAAATCAAAACTCTCTGGCTAATATGTCACCATTATACTTAAAACTCCCCTAAGCCCTTCATGTAACTCAGGATAGCCTGATGTTGTACTCTTGACTTGTGCTTCCAAGCCCCACAATAGAAATAACTCATTTTGAAACTTCTTTGGGTCAATATTTACCACCACACCTTCTCCACATCACTTCTTCTCATTGGTCCTTTATCATTTCTATAGTCCAAAAATGTATTGCCTATTTTGTTTTATTCCGATCCTCACAGGGAGTAAGCAATTTGTTCCCCTCTCATGCTTTTTTCAGACTCTACTCTGAAATTGGTTCAAATCACATGTAGAAAAGTCTCATGGTGTGGTGGCCACGACTGGGCACTGTTAGACTGGACAGTGAACTGGCAAGGTGGGGTGAGTTAGGCAGACAGAATGTTTCACTTTTTTTTTTCATTTTTAGTACTGGGGATTGAACACAGGGGTGCTTAACCACTGAGCCATATTCCTAGTCTTTTTTATTTTTATTTTTTAAGTTTTTGATACTGGAGATTGAACTCAGGGGCACTGAACCACTGACCCACATTGCCAGTCCTATTTTGTATTTTATTTAGAGACAGGGTCTCACTGAGTTGCTTAGCGCCTTGTTTTTTTTTTTTTTTTGCTGAGGCTGGCTTTGAGCTTGAGATCCTCCCACCTCAGTCTCCTGAGTTGCTGGGATTACAGGTGTCTGTCACTGCCCCTAACACATTTCAGATTTGAGGATATCTCTGAGATTTTTTTCCCCTCTTTTACTGTTTCTCTGAAATAGCTGATACTGTTGATCACCCCTACCTTCATTAGTTCCTGAGATATGCCCTACTCTACTTTTCTAGCTCTAACGGCCTCTTCCTCCTTTACTCAGTCCTCTGCCCTCAAGGTGGGTGGTCTCTGTAGAGTGATCACAGCACTAGAGTCCCAACACAATAATAACTTCTCACTCTGTGCTCTGGCCTTGAACTCCCTTCAAAAATTTCTCTGCGATGGGAGGGTGGGGGAATGGGGTGGCTGTGTTTAATAAGGACAGCGTTTCAGATGGGGAAGATGAAAAAATTCTGAAGATGGACGTCAGTGATGTTTGCACATTGATGTGAATGCGCTCAGTGTCCACTGAACTGCACACTTAAATGGTTAGAATAGAGAATTTTGTTATGTGTGTTTTGCCACAATAAGTTATTCTGCAATAGATAAACTCACCTGTTTCTGAGATCATAATATTGTCATTGTGTCTGTCGCCTATTCCAAGAACAAAGGTTGCCACACAGTAGCCTGCACAGGAATAAACAAATCTCTCCACTGCTGCCTGAAACTAATTAAAATGCATCAGAATATTAATTGTCTTCTAACTACAAAGAGCAGCATGAATCTATTACAGATGATTTCCAGAAAGGCACTGTTCTGGGAACCATTTTTAGAGAGCAAGTTACTTGTGCCTGATTTCATTAGCATTATATCTACCAAGCGCCAATTTTCACATTGATCTGCTTATGTTTTAGGTGAAGATTCAATACATCACAACAGCACGAGGAGGACACATGAGTCAAAGGGCAACAGAAATTTAATCAAAGCGTTTGCTTCCTCTGCATGCATCACTTGCTCACAAGAATGTGGAACCCATAGTAATTTCTTCTCCATCAGTGAACATGTTTTGCTTGTGACCATTTACAAGTATGCATGGGTTCACAAATCCACATGTATAACAGATTAATAAGTACTGCTAATTATATTTCCTCCCCAAATGACTGCTAACCATGCAAATGAGAAGTGCTAATCCTGTGCGGTAGAACTTTAGATGACAGCCAAACAGCCCAACCACACAGCTTGTGAAGGATTCAGCATATGCACTTCAGAAGATGGTGGAACTGACATTTTCCCCATCCATAATTTACCATTTATATTAGAGTGCAGTGGTAAATTATAAATTATGTCGTTGGGCATGCGGTATTTCCTAGGTAGGAAAGAATTTATACAGAGTAACTAAATCTCGATGCCGAACAACAACAACAAAAAATAGCCATAAAAAGTGCTAACAGATTATTTTACAGAACCAAATTAGATACAAAATGTGCCTGGGAATCAAAGCCAAAGATAATGATCATGGGGTTGGGAACTGAGCACTTCTGTTTTACATAGATGTGCTGTGTCATCAGGGAAAAGCCCTTAAACCTCCCCACCTCCTCACCAGTAAAGGATTCACCAATATATGGGGATGCAAGACACTGAAAAATCCTTTGAAAACCTGGAACCACTATTGCTTTATAAATGACAAGTTGTAAGGGACCTCTGCAGAGGGGAGGCACAGCTCACCTTTTCTTCGATGGGGCATTTTTCTTTGAGCCAGTGATTCAGGACTTCATCTTTGAACGCACCCGTGTTGCCCACTGTGCTTTGCTGGATTTTGGCAATTGTTGTCGCATCTTTCACGATCTCGATCATTCCTACATTGAGGATGAGGAGTTTGATGGAGAAGGGGGCCTAGCGCCTGACCCAGAGGGGGGGCAACTTGTCTTTGTTGAGTAGGGAACAGAGGGGACTTTTTTTTTTTTTT